CGCACGGCAGCTAAGCGTGACAGGACTGCCCACCGCCCAGAGATCCGGTGCACCCTGTGGGTAGGCCAACCCGCACGGCAGCTAAGCGTGACAGGCCTGCCCACCGCCCAGGGGCCCGGTGCACCCTATTTGGACCATGCTTGGACTTGGAATCGGACTACCGTGCCCCGCAGCCTCGCCCGGCCGCTTGGCCCCCACCTGGCCGACGACCCGACTCAAAGATAATGTCGCACTATTTAACCTCTTGGGTGGCATGTGGGTGAGTCGTAGTCGGCAGAAGAGCAGCAGCGAGCGAGCAGCACACCGCTGCGCGCACAAGTGAACCTCTTCGCGGATATGGCCGTCTTACGCACTCTCCTGTTCGTGGGGCTCGCCCTCGCGGCCACCAGTGCCCAGCCAGGTAAATGTTACAGTTACAATGTTTACATCAACTTCACAGTATTTTCGTCGAAACTTTGCACATCTAACTTGCAATGTTTTTCAGGTCTATATTCGTACAGCCGTCAACCACTTTCTTACCGTCCAACTAGGTAAGTTAGCCCAGTGAGAAATGAATTGTTTTAACGTCGATTCGATGTCGATTTGACGCCGAAATAGTCGCATGAACGTAATTTTGTCCCCCAAATCTACATCTTTTTGATAGTTTGACGTCGATTCAAATCGAATCCTCGTTTCTATTTCCCATTGGGTAGTGCGATTACTAATACGTTTTTGTCTCTGTCTCTTTAACGATTTTTTTTATGCTCCAGTCTCTACTCCCACGGACTTCCGATCAGGCTTCCCCACCTGTCGGCGGAGGACTGGGACGACAGGGGCCATGAGATCTACCTGGCCTACGGCGTGCAGCCTGGCAGCCCCAGCGTCAACAAAATTGACCTGGACAACTTCGACGTGGACAACAATGACGACCTGGATGGCGAGGACCGCATGTTCCAGTTTGGCAGAAGCACGTCCCACCTGGAAGGCGAGGAGGAGCCCTTGCCCCTAGTTGGCGAGGAGCCGATGGTCGAAACTCCGGTGGTCGAAACTCCGGTGGTCGAAACGCCAGTGGTCGAAACGCCGGCCGTCGAAATGCCGGTAGTCGAAACGCCGATCGTCCACCACACCCCCGTGGTGCACGAATCCGTCATCCAGAAGTACTACCACGTCGTGCCGCCCCCGGTCGTGCAGAGGCAGTACCACGTCGTGCCGCCCCCCGTTGTGCAGAAGCAGTACCACGTCGTGCCGCCCCCGGTCGTGCAGAAGCAGTACCACGTCGTGCCACCGCCGGTCTTTAAGAGGTACCTGAACGTGCTCCCAGCCCCTGTCGTCCAGAAACGGTACGAGGTGGTGCCACCCCCCGTTGTCAAGAAGTTTTACGACGTCCTGCCCACCCCGGTCATCCAGAAGCAATACCAAATCCTACCGCCTCCAGTGATCCAGAAGAACTACAATGTGGTCCCCGCCCCAATCATCAAGAAGTTCTATCAGATTCTGCCTCCCCCCGTCATCAAGAAGTTCTTCACTCCTCCCCCTGTCGTGCAAAGGGTGGTCATGACCCCTCCTCCTGTGGTGAAGAAGTACGTGGTGAACCCTCCCCCGATCGTTGTGCATCAGCCTAAGGTGGTGAGGCCGTTGCTGTACACCCCTCCCCCTAGCATCAAGAACATCTACAACCTTATCCATGAAAACGCCCCTGTGCCCGCCCCC